AGAGGGAAAAGAATACTTTATAATTTAATTCAAGCTTACCACTTTATAAATCAGTAAAATGATATAGATAATTACTGTTCACATGTGGTTCAATAATTAATGTACCACCACCGCCACCAAAAAAAACAAAAAAAAAGACAGGTATTATATGAGTGAAAAAACAGTATTATAATTTAGAGCTTTGATACTGCTTTGTCACTTTCTGAGCTCTGCAAACCGGTGAGACATTAATGTCGTTTGATGCTTTTTGTTGCTGCTGCCGCTGCTGCTGTATCATTCATTTTTTTTTTTTAATGTTTTTTGATAGTTGCATGAAATAAGCTTTCCGGCAGATTGAATGTCATCTTTGATTTTTACTAAATTTTTTTTCCTTTTTTTTTTCAATTACATCGTTTTTAATGTCACAATTACATAGCCTTTTCTGCAGCAACAACTTATTTATGCGCTTTTTTTTCTTTTCCAGGAAAATTTCAGCCTTTTTTAATTGATCAAATGTAGTTATAATAGATTGCAATTTTTACCTGCACCTGATACTGATTGCATAGAATTTTTTATCGGAAGGTGACTACACTAATTTGTTGTAATATTAACATTTCTATTGGCTTTCACCAACACACTTTAGTTCTCCCCATTTTATTTTTCTCTATTAACTATGTTTATTACGTGAAATAAGCAAATGAATGATTCTGATTTAATAGTGTTTGAAAAGTTTAATCAACAAAAAAATTTGCTCTAATTATTACTGTATTAACAGTTAAATGTAGAAAAAAAATATTTTATATTAGTTAAATTTTTTGTCTTGTTTTACGAGTAGCAACTTTTAGGTTTGTCAGTAAGTTAGACAATGTTTTAGGATACTAAACAAGTAGCTTATCTGTTTGGATATAACACTTATATTAATATGTCTTCATTAGATTATAGGTGCTAGATAAATATCTGTTTTTAATAGACAACATATTTATTGCATTTGTAAAAAATGAAAAAAAAAATTAGTAATTTGTACGCAGAATATGTTTCTTAGTTGCATTTTTCTTAGTTTGCTTGAATGAGAACGACAAAATCGGCCGATGACACCGACGACGGAAGAAAGAGAATTCATTTGGTGTTGATGTATCCGAGTAAATATGCGCAATTTTGCAATTGATCTTTATAACCTATCCTGATATGTTACTTACTCCTGATTCTACTAAAATTGGTAGCTTTTTTTTTTTTTTATCTTTGTTAATCGCAATTTCTAAAGTTTATCTAAATATAGAAGAATATAGTTATCGAGTATAAGCTTTTTTTTTTTTTTTTTCCTTGAATATTTAACATATTCCTTTTTAAACACTTTATTAGCACTCCCACTCTTTTGCTACTGCTGTTGTTGCTGCAAAATAAAAACTATCTGTTTCTACTTATTTCTCTTTTTTTTTTTTTTTAAGAAATGTCAAAACAGAAATAATGTTTTTTTAATTTAAAGAAGACATAAAAAAACTTTACAAAAAAAAAAAGAAAACCCAAAAAATTTCTTCGTTTCTTTTTTTCTGATTAATTAAACGTTTTGATAAGTTGAAATTAAAAACCAATTTAAATACAGCTTTACTTCTACAGCTGTTTCAGTTTTCTTTAAGCTTAACTACGAATCTTTCATCTTTTTCTAACCCTCCTCTTTATTCACCTCCGCGTTTGTCACCAATTTACTGACCAAATTTGCTGCTACTGTCGCTGCTGCTGCTGCTGCTGCTGCTTCTTTGTTTCATGCATTTTTTGGCTTTTTTTTTTTGCGTAACTTCTTATCATTTTTACTTTTTCTTCTCCTATTCTTTAACAATTGAAATTCTACGTTTTTTTTTGACTGTCAAAAGGAAAAAAGAAAGGAAATTGCAAAAACGTAGATACGTTCAATAGTGCTGACAATGTGTAAAAGAAAAAGAAATCTGTTAAAGCTTTTTTCTTTCAGTCTTATCGTATAGCTAACTAAAATCAGAAAACAACAGCAGCAACAATTGCCACCCTCTGAGATGTGTTTTTATGGCTTTCAACACGAATAGACAAAAAACCGTTGTTGAATTAACTATGATAAAAGCAAAAATAGAGAACAAAGAGTTGAAAAATTGTTTGGGTTAAAGCAGCAGTATTTAGTGATGTTTTAGTAGAACAATAGTTTTTTTTTTTT